TATAGAGTATAGGCTACCTGGGTGGCACAAATGGTTAAGTGCTCGGCTGCTCACCAAAAGTTTGGTGTTTCAAACACACCCAGAGGTGCCTCAGAAGAAAGGCTTGGAGATCTGCTTCTGAAAGGTCATAGCCACTGAAAACCCTATGGAGCAGTTTTACCCTGCACACGTGGGGTCACCATGAGTCAGAATCTACTCCATGGCAACTTTTTGTTCTGTTTTATTATAGAGTATTGCTTTAACTTTCTATTTATTCTTTCTACAAACCCTTGCTGAGCACTTAGTATGAGTGAAGCACTGAAAATGAATGGTATGTGGTAGTTTTCAAGATACTCTTTTTACGTGTAAAGAGAACGGGCCATTTCAAGGCCTAATTGCCTTGATTGTCTCCCTCCAAATCAAGGATACCCTTCTAGACACAGAATGACCTGTCTCTACCTTCCTACCACATTCTCTTTAATCCAGACAGTGGCTCTTTACCCCAGGCAGTGAGGTAAATGGCTCTATCACCCCTTTCCCTCCCTGGCTGCCAAATAGAGCCATTCTGGAGGGGAGTGTGTGTGCGTGTGTGTGTGAGTGTCTGTGAATGTGTGTGAGTTTGTGTGTGTGTGAGAGTGTGTATGTGTGTGTGTGAGTGAGAGTGTGTGTGTATGAAAGTGTATGTGTGAATGTGTGTGTGTGTGTGTGTGTGTGTCTGTGTGTGTGTGTGTTTTCTCCCCAACCACAGGACACACTTCTGAATTCCAAATGATTGAATAATTTGGCATCTTATATAATTCAATAATCTGGTTAATTGAGAATTGCAAACAAATGGCAAACAAATAGGGCAAAAGGCTCTCAAGCTACTGACTTCTTTTGTATTAATCAGGAAAATAAACACCCAAGAGTTTAATAACAAAGTCATACACCTTTTTTGGACAGTTGATATTTTCTTTATGTGTATCATGACTAATAGTAATGGTGGTAATTCATCAAATTAGAAAAGCAATCAACAGTTCTAGCTGTACAAAATTAAAATTGATTGAGAGCCTATACCACCCTTACAGAGTTAATAATTACATCATTATTAAACATACAGCACAGAGTCAAAAATGCTTTTTAATAACCAAAAGGTGGGTGGTTCAAACCCACCCAGCGGCTCCACAGGAGAAAGGCCTGGTGAGCTGTTTCTGTAAAGATTAAAGCCAAGAAAACTTATGGGGGCAGTTCTACTCTGTCACATGGGGTCACTATGAGTCAAAATCAATTCTACAGCACCTGACAACAAGTTTAAGAAGATCTACTATATACTAAAGTCTAGTATATACAAATAAAGCAAAGTAGATTAGAACAAAATAGTATTAATGTATGTAGTCTGACTAGTTCTATGGAGAAAGCTACTCTCACGATTATCTACCATTGACAGAGCATCCACTCTGGACTAAGCATTGTTTAAGGTGATTTGCATACTGATTTCATTGTATCCTCACCACATCCGTGGAGACATGTTGGTGCCAATCTCATATTATAGATGAGGAACTGATGTCTACAGGGATGAAGTAACCAGTCCAAGAACACAGAGCCAGAGCCAAGACTCAAACCCAGCTCTGTCTCGTTCCAAAGCATCTGTTCTAATCAATGATTGTCTGCACTGTCTAACAAAGACCCTGTAGATGAGTACAGGAAACACCTTTCACAGAAAACAAAACACCTTTCACAGAAAACAAAACACTCCTCTTAGGAATAATGTCTTAAATTTCACTTCGAAGAGTTTTCTGACAGATAAGCAGAACTAGTGGGTGTCCAGGGTCCCAGAGGATGTTCCTTTAGAGCCAAAGCTCTTGTTGGCCCACAGAATGTTTCCGACAATGGGGCAGGGACAGAGAGGAATGAGGGAAATGAAGACTCACTAACGACACAAAGTGTCCTTAAGAACAGTTCTGATGTCATTTATCTCCACCTTCCAAGAATACTGGGATAGCCTTGCATAGACAAGTGATAAATATTGTCAGTTAAGTTTGTGAAGATAATGACAAAGGTCACTAAGAAAGATTTGTGTTAAATATTACATTAACTCAAACTAATGTCTCCCCTTGCTAGGATGGCCATTGTGAGGTGATGTGGGGTTAGGAGCGGAACTCTGCTCCGAGTACGCAGAAGTTAGATTATAGAACCTCAAAGAAATTTTCTCAAGTTAAGCTACAGCCACGATTCAGTGAGGAACCTGTGTTCTTGGCTGGGTGGAGACCACATATTTGACTCTAAAGGGTGGTCAGAAGCACTCACCAAGACATCCCTTGGTATGTAGCTCTGGGGGAGCTGAAAATATGGGCAGGAGTGAGGAGGGAAGCTTTTTCTTACTCTTTCTCCCAGGCTGCCCCTGTGGTGTCTACCCTTTCATGAAAGGTGCAACAGGAAACTAAGTTACACAGAGTATTGCTTCGTGTGTCCTCTCCTTTCCCATCACCCTGACTGGCCTGACCAGCCTCAGGCCAGTAGAGGAAGACGCCCCCACCCCCCGCAGCAGCAGAGAGGTGCTACACAGGCCTGGTGGCCTACACAACAGGATCCAGCCTGTCTGCACCTGCTGGGCTTCAGAAACGGGGCAAAACCACAACTGCACAGTTCAACCAGCAGCTGACTCTTCCTTTAATAAGGTCCCATCATTATGGGCAGTTGCCATCAAGTTGATTCCAATTCATGGTGACCGTTATGGATTGAACTCTGTTCCCCAAAAATGTGTGTCAACTTGGCTAGGCTATGATTCCCAGTATTGTGTGATTGTTCACCATTTTGTCATCTGATGTGATTTTCCTATGTGTTGTAAATCCTACCTCTATGATGTTAATGAGGTAGAATTAGAGGCAGTTAGGTTAATGAGGCGGGACTCAATCTACAAGATTAGGCTGTATCTTGAGGCAATCTCTTTTGACATATAAAAAAGAGAAGCAAGCAGAGAGACAGGGGGACCTCACACCACCAAGAAAGCAGCGCTGGACCTGTGGTTCCTGTGCTTGAGAAGCTCTTAGACCAGGGAAGATTGATGACGAGGATCTTTCTCCCAGAACTGACAGAGAGAGAAAGATTTCCCGTAGAGCTGACACCCCAAATTTGGACTTCTGGCCTCCTAAACTGTGAGAGAATAAATTTCCTTTTCTTAAAGCCTTCTGTTTGTTAATCCATCTATTTGTGGTATTTCTGTTATAGCAGCACTAGATAACTAAGACAGTGACCTCATATGTGTCAGAGTAGAGCTGTGCTCCGGAGGGATTTTTTGGAAGTAGATTGCCAGGCCTTTCTTCCAAAGTGCCTCTGGATGGACTCAAACCTCCAACCTTTCCATTAGCAGCCAAAAGTTGGAGGTTCAAGTCTGCCCAGAGAAGCCTCCGGAAAAAAGGTCTGGTGATCTATTTCTGCAAAAAAGCAGCTATTGAAAACCCTCTGGAGCACAGTTATACCCTGACACAGATGGTGACTGGTTTTATGGAAAATCATAGGGGGAAGTCATTGTGATTAGAGGCCAAGTGTTGCCTTTACTCACTTCTCCTCTCTCCTCTGCCTAAGCCCTGTACCTGACACAGCTGTCCAGGTCCCCCAAATGTGAGTGGCAGAACGACTGTCTGGGGGCTCATGTTCCCATGTATTATCTCATTCTGTACTAATTTTTATATCTTCCAATAAAAGAAAAGTCTGTGGCTGCTTTCTTTTTAGTAATTCAACTTAATAAATGCTCTACTACTAAATGTATAGGGATAGATATAGAATAGATATATATATATAATGACCTTTATGGGACAATTGGTAATTTGAACAATTTATATTTAACAGTATTAAGGAAATATAAATTTATAGTTAGGAGTGACAGTGGTATTGTGATCATTTTTCTTTGTTTTTTAAGAATGCATAGTTTTTAGGGATACATCATAACATTTTTACAGATGAAATGGTCTGTCTGGGATTTGTTTCCAAACAACACAGGATGGGGGGCAACAGGTAGGTATATGGGAAACAAGATGGGCCTGGAGTTGACGATTGGTGAAGCTGAGTGATCGGCTCATGAGGATTGATTTGCTGTTCTTTTGTATATGCTTAAATTTTTCCCATAATAAAAAGTTTTTAAAGTGATCAGAATCAGTCAGAGTTACTTTAAATGCATAATAGAAAATCATGTTTTTAAAAATGTTTAATGATGTGTAATTTTTATGATTTACTATGAAATGGAATCGCAGGATCAAAAACGTCACATAAAGTACTGTATATACATATACTTACATATCTAGGGAAATAGAAAGAAGAAAATAGACAAAATGTAAGTTATGGTTGCCCCTGGCTGGTGAAAATATATGTTATTTTTCTTTATTCTTGTTTCTTTTCTGTATTTTCCAAATTTTCTAGAAAGAAAATATATTGTTTATAATTTTATAAAGTTCCTTTTAATAAGTCATGCTCATGGTATAGTTATGTGAAAAAAGTTGCCTAAGTATATATAAAATAGAATCCCAATTCTGTTTAAAAATGTGTGTGCAAGTTGTGTGTGTTTATCTGAAAGGTATTTTTGTTTCTTAGCTTTTTGCATATTTTCTTGAATTAATAAGTATAATGTTCTAATCAGAAAACTGAAGCATGAAAAATTAAAGCTAGATTTATTATATTTCTTTATTTGGCTGCTAACCAAAAGATCGGCAGTTCAAATCCACCAGCTGCTCTTTGGAATCCCTATGGGGCAGCTCTACCCTGTCATATAGGGTCACTATGAGTCAGAATTGACTCAACAGCAAGTTATAAGGAATGGACTATATAGGGCAATGCAGTAGGTAAGTATGAGGAGCTTTATAATACATGCTTATAAAACTGAGAAGCCAGTCCAAATGAATTTTAAACTCTCATTGAAAGTATCTGTTTAGCTTTTGTACTCTGCTGATGTAAGATCCTTTAAACAACTACCATTATGTAGACATACTCTTGCCCTCATGCACTCAATTTTTTTAATAATCGCGTTTCCTTTTCTGTCCCGTTTCCAGGTATATCCATGCCAATTCCGGTCTTTGGGCTACAGGATGATTCCAAGGTCTTTAAGGAAGGAAGCTGCTTGCTTGCTGATGATAACTTTGTCCTGATTGGCTCCTTTGTGTCTTTTTTCATCCCTCTGACAATCATGGTGATCACCTACTTTTTAACTATCAAGTCACTCCAGAAAGAAGCTACTTTGTGTGTGAGTGAGTTTGGCACCCGGGCCAAATTAGCTCCTTTCAGCTTTCTCCCTCAGAGCTCCCTGTCTTCAGAAAAGCTCTTCCAGCGCTCCAACCACAGGGAGCCAGGGTCCTACGGCAGGAGGACTATGCAGTCCATCAGCAACGAGCAAAAAGCATGCAAGGTGCTGGGCATCGTCTTCTTCCTGTTCGTGGTGATGTGGTGCCCCTTCTTCATCACAAACATCATGGCCGTCATCTGCAAAGAGTCCTGCAACGAGGACGTCATCGGAGCCCTGCTTAACGTGTTCGTGTGGATCGGCTACCTCTCCTCAGCCGTCAACCCACTCGTGTACACGCTGTTCAATAAGACCTACAGGTCGGCTTTTTCACGGTACATTCAATGTCAGTACAAGGAAAACAAGAAACCTTTGCAGATAATTTTAGTGAACACTATACCAGCCTTGGCCTACAAGTCTAGTCAACTCCAAAAGGGCCAAGGGAAGAATTCAAAGACAGACGCCAAGATGACAGATAATGACTGCTCGATGGTTGCTCTAGGAAAACAACAGTCGGAAGGTGCTTCTACAGGCGATGTCAACACAGTGAATGAAAAGGTTAGCTGTGTGTGATAGGCTGGTTGCCATGGTAACTGTGGCCAGGCACACTGAGCAAGTTTTCACCTATCTGGGACAAAAAAAAAAGAACAGGGAGCCTGGAAAAAAAATTAGGCCAGTCTAGTGGAACCAACAGTAATATCAATGTACACTTTATTTTGTCAGTGAAAAGCAGGGTTAAATGCCACAAAATGTGCACTTCTAAAATGTCCTGACAGCATTCCAGCTGTGAGCGTTATGGTACTTCTTTTTAACATTGTAAATGATATGTCTTTAAAATGATTAGTTTTCATTGTATAATTATAATGAGGCCATAAATAAATCTAAATGAATTTCTGGTGTTGAATGGAAACCTTGCTAGTGTGTTGTTAATTGATGGCAATGGGTTTCCTGGTTACCTCTTGCTATAAATATGAATAGCTATAAATAGTGAAAAGTCTGTTGACAATAATGGCCTCTTACATAAAAGAAAATTCTCATGAAAACTTACCATTATCTGTGTTTTGAAAGACAAAAAAAAAAAAAAACACTAAGGACAGTGTTATGAAATCTGCATTGCTAACATAATTAAATACTTCACGACATTTTTCATTCCTGCTTTTCCATAGATGCCATTCTGAAGGATTCATAAGGTCGCTGGCATTTGCAGCATTTCAAGTTAATTCTTCTCAGAAAAGATTTTAAATGTTATTTAATAACTATTGCTGCTTTCTCTTCTACTTCTTGTGCTTTACTCTGAATTTCCGATGTGGTCTTGTTTAGTGTTTGTTTTACTAGGTAAACTATCAAAAGCGTAGCTTAACATTACCAAATACGTTCTAGAAATTGCTTCTCTAGAACAGCAGCATAGAGTTGTTGGGTGGCTTGCTCTGTAATAACTGCATCGTGCATGCGCCCCTCTGAGCAGTGAGCAGTATGTTGACATAACTCTGTCCAGATGGAGAAATAAACTCAGGTTTCTGGTTGTTAACAACAGTGTCTTAGGACATCGCTGTAAAAAGCAGGTATCTTTGCCGTTGACACCCATCAGGTAAATTGATGCCTTCAGATCAACGTATATTATCTACTAAAACTGTTCAGCTTGCTTCTACAATCATCTATTGAGTGTATACCACGTGTGAAGTCATTTTCTAGGTAAACCAGTTGTCGTCAAGTTGACTCCGACTCATGATGACTCCGTGTGTGTGAGAGCTGAACTGTGCTTCATAGGGTTTTCAATAGCTGATTTTTCAGAAGTAGATTGTCAGGCCTTTCTGCCAAAGCACCTGTGGGTGGACTTGAACCACCAACCTTTCAGTTAGCAACCAAGAGTATTAATATTTGCACTACTTGGGGACTCCAGTTGGCTAGGTACCAGGGATATAAAGGAGCCCTGATGGCATAGTGGTTAAGAGCTCAGCTGCTAATCAAAGGGTTGGCAGTTTGAAGCCACCAGCCGCTTGCCGCCTTGAATACCCTATGGGGCAGTTCGCTATGAGTCGGAATCGACTCCATGGCTATGGGTTTTGGGTTTTAGGAATATAAAAATGAATAAAACAAGATCCTTGCCCTTAAAGAAAATAACTAAACTGAAATTGTCCTTCTCAAAATGTAAGACTTATTTTGAGAATCAAAATTAAATTGATTTTCTTTTTACCTGGTTCAAAACAAATTTGTTTCACCTCTGAGGGTAGTATTCTCAAATAAGTTTTCCTGATTGATTTCCATTGAATTCCCAGCAAACAAAAGGGGAAGAAAAAAATCACTAAGATAAAAATTGCAATTAGTTTAGAAATATGCACCTTAGCCTGGACCCAAGCTATGACTACCAAGTTTCACACAAAATTTCTGTTGTCCCTCTCTAAAAATTAACTCATTTTAGTATTACTCACCAACATTGGACTCCCTAATAAAGAAGCAGGTAATATAATATTTTGTAGAAAAGTTTGCTGAAGTGAGAAAGAGATTAACAGCAGTTAATCCACCCTGACAGAATAGAACTGCCCCATAGGGTTCCCAAGGAGCGGCTGCTAGATTCGAGCTGCCAACCTTTCGGTTAGCAGCCAAGTGCTTAACCACTGCACCACCAGGGCTCCTGATATTGTGTTACTCTGTGTAAAACTGCACTTTGTTGTTGAATTAGATGTGAGATATGTGGTTTCAATACTAAAGCATTTCATATTGAATGAAAAATAGCTTTTTCCCTAAGCCTTTTGAAAAAATTATAGGTTTTTAAAAGTAAAGTATATGGGAGGTACCATTGTGTAATTTGGAAATACATTAAGTCTATCCTAATTGTGTCCTTAGAGACACGTTGTTGACTGAAAAGATGATTTGCTATTTCAAAGCTAGAATTTATAGTAAGCCACTAGTACTAAGCCTTCATTTGAACTGACTACTCCTCAATGATTATATATACCAACTGGTAAGAATATAAATGACTCTGTTCTAATAATGTATTTTGTCTTAGTGTGTAACTGCACATCTCATTCTATGTTAGAGAAAAGATTACAGATTCTACCCCAATATACTCAATCTTGAGCAGGATGAACAAAAATACTGCCTGACAGATGTCTTTTGACTGCATATATATTACAAATGTGAACGTGTTTCTTTTCTCTCCATAAGTATCTATTCAAGTGTGTATAGACAAACGCATATCTGTATATATGTACAGACGTGTTCCCATTGCACTTTATTCAATATTTATATATTTATATGGAGGAAAAGCAAGAGATATTAATGAAAGCCTCAGTATATGCCCATGTGTGCATGTTCGTATCATGTCAGTTTAAATGTGAATTCATGTTCTGATGTCTCTGTGACCTTCCATTGCTGTTAAAGCAGATCAAGTGTAACAGGGGTATCAGCTTTTCAAATAAACTGGAAGTTTGTCTAATTTTATAGGAAAACTTTAACACAGTTCTATGAGGGTGATGAAACAGTGGTCCATAGACATAGTGTATTGATCTTAAGTAAAATGGTACCTTTGGACCTTTTATTTAGTCTGGGGACTTTCTGACTACTGTCCTGTCAGTTGCTGTTGAGTCAGCTCCACCTCATTGCTCCCCTGTATGTGCAGAGTAGAACTGCTCCATAGGCTTTTCAAGACTGTGACCTTTCAGAAGCAGATTCCTAGGCCTGTCTTCTAAGGCGCCTCTCTGTGGATTTGAACAGCCAACCTTTTGACTAGTAATTGGGCGCTTAACCTTTTGCCCCACCCAGGGACTCGTTTCTGGCTACTACGGCTTTTGAAGTACAACGCCCCCTCCTGCCCCCGTGAAATGCAGTCCTTAAATGGTGGATGGTTCTGGGACTAAGGGATTCACTCCTAGTCAATACTACTAAAATGGGGTAACAAAGCTTCCCTAATTTAAGTTGAATAGTAGCTTATTCTGTAAAGAAAAAATTAAATGCCATAATTAGTCAAAACGCTGTTTAAAGCATACTTAATCTACGTGACCACAGCGCCATCTCATGGTCATTTTTTAAAGTGCTACTGTTGCCAAATCGAACTGCTTTTAGCAAAGGGTGCTTCTCCCATTTGTGCATCAGTGAAACATATTTATAAAGTGTTAAATTATTCTGTGCCATATGTAACAAATACGGTGGAAATTATTTTATGTACTGATTTTAATGTAGGCAATTCCAAAAGATCTCAAGAAAGAATGAATAATAGTAAATAAAGTATATTCAAAAATGAATGCAATATTGTGAGTCCATAGCTGTGTCCACTAAAAAGAGTTGCCCAAAACCTCCTAGGCCAGCAGGCTGGGAGCTCCAGGTATCATCCTAATGTTATGAGAGTACAAAGCCTATGCTTCTGGAGCTGAGCCATGTCAAAGAGCCAGGACCCACCTGGCTGAGTAAGTACTATAGTCATGATCCAGTTTCCAGTTCTCTGCAGCAGACAAATGCTCTGTGTTCGATTGATATGTTGGGTTTCACACAGCTTAGGAACATAAAGAACAGTTGCTGCACCCCGAGATGTGCACAGGTATATCAATATATGCATGCACACAGGTGTACATGTGCATAGGTGTATCAACATATGCACAAACACCCATATTCACACACACTCACAGGAGATAGTTTCAAGAATCAGAGTAAGCCAAGGAGACCCACTATCACTGAATAAACTAGAAAGTTGCCCTGGTTCACCATTTCATCTTTAACTATAGGAAAAGCTTATGAAATATGGAAAGCAGGTGTCTTTTCCAGGAGTCATTATAGCTTCGTGTATTGAGCAACTACCACGTGCCAGGCACTAAGCTGGTTTCTTTGCTCTCTTCGCCTGATGGAATCTCCACAACAACCCTATAACATAGGCATTATTAGTCCCATATTTTCACAGTTGAAGAAAGTGAGATTCAGAGCAGTTAGTAACATGCTCAAGGTCACACAGCTGGCAAACATGGGTCATCAGATTCCAAAGCACAGATTCTTTCCCCAACCCCATCCTGTACAGGGGAAAGAGCACCGGGGTCAAAACCAAAATATCCGAGCTCTCCTCTTAGCTTCTCCTCCCTCAAGCTGGCTATGTGAGTTTGGACAAGTCATTAACAACCCTGCACTCGATTCCATTGTTTCTCAAATGGGGCCGCTAGTTCCTGTGCTGCTGACAAAGTAGCATAAATGAAATGATGGCTATGGCCATGCTTGATACCCGTAAAATACTATGTCACTGTTATAAACATGCTGTTACTAAAGAAAAAAAGCACCAGAGCCTCTATCCGTTAGTAACCATCAGGGAAAATCCCAGACAAAATTGTGCAATGCGGTATTTATATTCAGCACCTTCTACTCTCCTTTCTATGAACATGTCCCATTTTGTTAAACCTTTACTCTTCTTTGTCCTCACCATGATGCAAAGTTCCCTTCATTGGGACTGCCCTTTTCTGCTTCCATCAAAACTTACCTATCCTATGTCCCATTCCCTCAGATGTCTACTCTCTGCTAGAGCACAAATAAGTACATTGGAGCCATGAATAGCTGATGATGGTTTATTGTATCTCACCAACACCTCTTCAGTTGCCCCCCATGATCATAATCCAGAAGGTTTTGGATTATGATCAAAGACAGGAATTTTAGGCACCAGAAAGACAAGTGAGAAAGAAATTTGGAGACAAGAAATGTTCTCCTGGTATCTAGATAAATTTCAAATAAGTTACAACTTTAACTTTCATATGGGAATCTTATGAGACAAATCAGACTTGATCTAGGGAGTTTGTAAGATATGAGACCAAGAGACAAATGTCAATATAGATATTTCCTGTGGCATTTTTCTTACAGTTGGCCTCTTCCTCCCGATTTCATGACTACATGGTATCAGGTTGCTCTTTTTAATAGACTTCATAAAGACAAAAAAACAAAAACCAAACCAGTTGCT